ACAAATGTACAAATGTGCTTTATACAACTGATGTATGTATGGATTATGATAAGAGTTGTATGAGCCCCCAATAAAATAAAATTTAAAAAAAAGAAAAGAAAACTAAAATCCTCAGAACTGGATCGATATATAAGATCATGATAAAATGGAGAAAAGGAAAAAATAAATAAAATAAAAGGAGTAATTCAACATGGGTGTGGCTTGAGCAAGGGTGGAACGTGGCTCCCCCCATTTTATAATGCTATGACTTAAGATACCACCGAACTAATCCTGCCTCATTAACATACAGAGGTTAAAATGTATAATTCATGTCACAAAATAATCTGATAATTCCATCAAATTCCAAATGGAGCAGTACCTCACAATACTTGACCTCATCAAGTTAACATATATTTGAAGGAGGACACAATTCATTCCATAACCAAGTATATTCAAGAAAGGTTGATAATATTTTACTGAGATTTTTCAAAATTAAGATGAAATATATTATGATAAATTAAAAATGAATACTACAATCCCCAGAGTAACTAGTGACAGGAGAGGGAATAAGTAGCTTACAAATCAATAAAGGAACTTAAATGGCAAAATAAACAAATAAAGGACTTTGGGGAACTTGGCTTCTAAAAAACCATTTAAAAGAATAAACCATGTGACTAGCTAAGCACATCCAATAGTAGACCATCTCATCAGTTTCAAAATGAAGGAGTTCTCAGAGACCTCTGGGTCAACCTTAGAGCAGACCCAAGGGCCATATGACCACTTAACTCGAAATCTTCAGAAGAGTCGGAGGAACACAGGGCAACAAGTAACATGCAAGTAAAAGGTTAAAGAAAAAAGAGGAGAGTGTATTACTCGCTTTCCCAAAGCCTAAATCCTAACTCGTTGCCTTAGTCCACTATTCTGTGTACTATGAGCAAACGTGTACTATGGACAGATACATATCAACTAAAACTAAAGGAATGAAGGATTACAGTGTAATAAATAGGCACATCTACTTAAATATCTACTGCAATTTAAAATAACCTTAGGGAAACCATTTGCTAAGCCCACTTCAGCAAGTAATACCTGAGAGAAACGGAAACAGATGCACCACTTTCTGAGAGCTTAAGAAAACGGTTTTTAATAATGGGTCCTAACTAGACAAGGTACAAAGTCTGCACAAAATAATCTGTCTCCCTCTCCGTTCAGCTTCCACCTGTAATCTTTCTCTTAGGGCCTGAAGAAGTGGGAGCTCCTGTTGGTTGCTAGCATGATGTTTTTATGGCTTCTTTTGGGGTCAGCTTTTAAGATCCTGCCTCTATCGCCCTGGGTAAGCCCTCGGAGGCATTTAATGATCTCCTCAGCTCAAGGATATTCCCAGTGTCCTCCTAGATCCAAAGAGGAAGGCAGGACCAGGGAACAGCCAAGAGAGGTTCCTTGATGCTCAAGTCAGAATCCTGGGCTAAGTGTGGGTCCAACTCTGGGTCTGTGCCCTTCACAATAAAGTAGCACCATATGTTTCTATAACAGACATACCAGGGGAAAAGGCAGTCTCTCTGTTCTGTGAGGGAAATTTCTTCTGGTTGGGGCTGCCTGGGAGGGGACCAACATAATGTTGGGAATGTTATGGGTCTCCTACTGTCCACTTTTTTCAAAGGTTGTCTCTGGCAATTGCCAAGGGACCGTCTCACACACCATATGCTTAGAATTTCTTCTGAGAACTGGGTAAAGACCCCAAATCCCTGCCTTCATCTACCTGATAGCTGACAGCAGTGCCTGAATTATCAGGGTAGTGGCATTGGAGGCAGGGGAATCTGATACAGAAATAATAGGGAACTGAACTGTGGGTGACAAGTAAGGACGGGGTTGTAGAGCTGAGGCCCATAAATACACTAAGATCAGAAAGTGGCCTACCACCTATGCTTCATCTCAAACTATAAACTCCCAGCCCCATGGATTTGGCCTGTCTTTCTACTCAAAGGAAAAGACTACCTGAAAAGATATATTAACATGTAAATATTTTACACTTTACCAATAAATGTCCTGAAGAGGACAAAAATGTAGAACTCAGTAAATATGGACTTGGGACAAGGTTTACAGAGCACATGAGTAAGGCCTGTCCAGAGTAACCTGTGCTTCAGAGAAATCTACACTAGTTCTCTGTAAGTACCAAGCCAGATCCACTCCCTGTTACTCAAGGTCTTCCCTAATACCGTGTCACTATGTATCCAATTAGCACAGGAGTATCTCTCAGCTAAAATTGTGTCTGGTTTTTTCTGAACCTATCAAAATCCTTGCCCCAACTCGAAGAATAATTCAATTTACGTCCATCCATGAAAACTTTCCTGATGCTCACAGTATCACAGCTACTACTTCTCCTTTATTTGAAGGCCTTATCCACAGCACTTAAGTCTGCACCATCTTTTTCCTGTTATGAAGCCAATTCTAAGCTATCTTGCTAATTACTCAATATGTAAATAAATACCTCCTCAGCTAGACTACTTAGACTCAGGAATTGAGATATTCTGCAGGCAGTTATAATTTGGCAACTAGAGGAAGTACAATTCAATGGCCAGGTTGTTACTATATTCGTACTCCCAGGTATCTAAGTAAAATATATTTTATAGCCTCTGCTATAAAATGCTATCCTTCATCACATGTGTTTTCCTTCGGGGGTAAAGGGAAGGCCGTGGTGCTGTATTTTTGCTTTTTCACCCACACCAGTTCTGCTCCCCCTTTAGGGAGGATGCAGATTATATTTCAAGATGCCTCATAAGGGGTAGAATATAGTTTACTGCCATGTAAAGAACAGAAAAAGTGACCTCCTGGAAATCAATGTTAAGACTCATCACGGGACCCTACTTGTATAGTCTTGTCTGAACAACAAAGATAATTGTGTGCCTCCATTTTGTCCTTACGTAGGCAGGAGCTTTTAGTCTATCAATATCCCCATTAACTTAAAAGACTTCTCCAGTGCAAATGGTTCAATATTTTATAAATGATAAGGTTAAGATGCCTATGCTCCTGTATGCCATCAAATACTATTCCAGTCTTCAGAGATAACGAGCATCTTTAATACAGCAACCACGTCCCGAAACATCAACACAAGTTGTGTTTATTAAGAGAAAATTCATAAATCAAAAGGTCAAACAAGTCAAAGGGTCTACCAAGGAACAAAACAAGATCTAGCCTCCCTTACTTTTGAGGCAGGAACACATCAGGTCAACATAATTGCTGGCTCTGGAGGGCAGGACAAAAGCAAATCAATTCACTTTCCCATTGTCCCGATCTATATTTAGCCTCAACCCACCAAAGTTTAAAAATAAGATTGGTAGCATCTAAGACTCAGTGTTGTCCACATTTCACCACTTAAGATCGGTGACATCTTGACGTTCTCTGTATTTCGACTCGTTCATTTGTACAAATGGATTTGCCTTCTGCTGTGTCAAATTGCAGTTGGAATGATTCAAATAACCATGTCTGAGACTGAGTTTGTCACCCTGTCATGAGATGTGTTTTAGTTACACAGTCTATGAAAACGGTTTACAACTAGGTAATTATTCTGACTGCAAATGCTTCCTTAAAGTTTTAAAAATAGAAAAAGATTCATTTTTACTTTACAAATTTATTTTTTGAACACTTGAACATCCACAATATACCATTACCAAGAATGCATTGCATGTGTTTGTTATGACCTAACTCGCATGTTGTAATGACCAGATATTATTTGTTGACATAAACTGTCCACTGCTAACCACAAGGCTGGTGGTTCAAATTCACAAGCTGCTCCATCAATTCAAATTGAGGCTATCTGCTTTTATAAATATTTACTTACTCAGAAACCCTATACATGATTGCAATAGATTTGGATTTTTCTAAGAAAAGTGTTTTTTTATGATTCAAATATTGTTCTTACTTTCATACTAAAAGGGCAGTTAGTCCCATTTTTAATTTTTTACAATTTTTGCTACTTTAGATTTGCTTACTCTTTTTTCAAAATCATTTTATTGGGGTCTCGTACAACTCTTTATCACAATCCATACGTACATCCATTGTGTAAAGCACATTTGTACATTTGTAGAGCCATCATCATTCTCAATAGATTTATTTACTCTTATGAAAATAAATTATATAACAAATATATAGACCACATTGGACACTCTATTCATCACTGCAGTACAAAACATTCGGGCTTTGTAATCAGGAAGAGCTGTATTCGAAATCCGATTCTGTGACCTTGTGCATGTAATTTAACATCTCTGCGCCTACTATGCAATCAGGTTCAATACGATGAACGAGATACATTAAAGAAACTGATTTAAGAAGACTATATTAAAGTAAATACCGAGGGCCTGAAAATATTATTTCCTAACTTCCCTTTAACCTTCCCACCTATGACAGGACCAAACGGATCCCCAAACGTGGACAAAGCACCTCTCACATCCATTCATGGAAGGGGTTGGGCGGGGGCGCGGTGCTGTGGGATGTAAAATAACGCGGATGCCAGCATGCATTAGGCATATGTGGAGCAATAAGTGGAGAAACGGGGAGCTACTGACGAGGGTCCTGGACTTCACGGGCAAGTGAGAAAAAGACACTAACCTGACACTTGGAAGAACGTAAGGTACACTCAGGAAGGTTTGTACCAAGACTCAGGAAGGTTTGTACCAAGAGGGTGAGTAAGGGATGGACGGAACTACAGAACAAGCCAGCAGGGAGTCTGTCGGTCACCCCACCCAACACCGCCCGCGCAGTCTTTCACGTGGAGCCTAGAAACTGAGGAAAGAGCGCACTGACCTGGTTCCCCGCACCCCCTCCCTCTCCCCAAGCCCAACCTCTCGGGGCGCGCGAATGGTGCTGAATCATTAGCACCAACTGCACAACTCCGCCTTGTGCTGCGCCCACCGGGGACAGTGTCCCCAGCGCAGTGACACCCTGAGCGCCCCGGTGGGATCCAGGTTCCTCGGGGCGTGTGGCCCGTGAGAGGGGGTCGCGGAGGAATCGGGGCAACTGGTACTCACCAGGGGTGAGGTAAGCCCAGCCCCGGTCCTGCTCCCAGGTGCGGGTGGTCCCTCTGCGGTCTCCGAGCTGGCCCGCTCCCTGCGGGCTGCGGCCCCCGGGACGGACCGGCTGCGCGGATGGTCCGGTGCTCTCGTCCGCCCGCTAGCCACCCGTGGGAGCCGCGGCTCCGGGCTCCGGCCGGCAGTCGCCCGGGAGCAGCTGGAGCAGCTGGCGCCGCCGAGGGGGTGCTGGCCACCGGCGGGCCAGACCATTCGCGGGCTGCGGCCGGGGGTGCGCAACGCGCGGCGAAGAGCGGAGCCAGGGCGCCGGGGCCGGCGACGGTTGGGAGGGACCAAGGACTCGGGGGAATTTTCTGCACCAGCCGCCCCGGGGCCTGGGGTCGGGAGGGTCCAATCCAGGATGGGGGGATTGTGCTCACTCATCACTCACCGCCTTGCTTTAGCTTTTCTGGGCACCCCACCCCTTTTGGCTTGGTCGCGCTCGGGCTCCTTTAGAACGGGCAAACAGAGGACCTAGCAACGGGCGCGCCTGGGCGGGGCCCCTCCTCGGAGATGCCGCCACCCCAGGGTCTACCTGCAGGCCCTGACCCCTGACCCTGCGCACCTTGCTCCCAAACGGAGCGGAGCATCTTGAGTGGCGGGGCGCCGTCGCGCTCCCATCCCAGCATCTTTATGCAGCAAAGAATAGAAAGGTATCCGTGGGCCCGCGGGAAAGTTAGAGAATAAAACCGGGTGGGCCCCCAGCCTGTGGTGCTTTGTGGTCTGTCCTAAATCACAGCGACTGCTACACAAACGTTGAACCTCAGGCAGCTAGAAAATAGAAACTTAGGAAGGAGTTTTAATATCTATCTATAAAACATGACAAGAGATTCAAGTATATTTGCCGTCCATTGTTCCCCATTTTTAGGAGATTCGTGCCTTGGGGATGGAGAAGGAGCCATGCCCATATATGGAATGAACTGTATAAAACTGGAAGAAGGCTCCTCTTGTGATATTTCTTGGGCTCTTGTAAAATCGTTTTCTGGCTCAGGCCCCTCTCCCAGCCAGGCTTACCCAGGTTCCCTGGGGCCTGTGGTAGAGATCACGGACAAGTGCATAGTTTTTCTTATAAAAAGCCAAAATCAAACAGAGTTGACAACTACCTATGGAATATAATTTAAGGGAGTTAAAAGAGGGAGCTGTCAAAAAAAAAAATAAAAAAATAAAAAAAAAAAGAGGGAGCTGTCATATACATCATGAGCAATATAAAAGTCCATAATTAAAAGATATTTTCTCTGGATTAAAGCTTTGCCCTCTTTTGAGTTAATTAACATAAATTGGGCAAAACATTGTACTATTTCCAGCTGTATTCCTTCATTTACTCTTCTCAAAACTCATGTGAGGTTAGTAAGTTGCTCCGATTTTTTAAATGAAGAAATTGGGCTTGGAGAATTTGTTGTACTGGGTCAACCAACGTATCATAGATAGTAAGTAGCAGAGCAGGCATTGCAACTTCGTGGGTTTTCCTTAAGCTTTGCCACTAGAACACCTCTGAATAAAGTGCAATCACATTCATGATTGTGTGCCTGCCTGTTCTTCCTTTGTGAAAACCAGGTTCCATGAGGAGAACACTTAGGTATCACACTGAGGTAGGAGTAGGAACTAGAAAAAGAAAGAAAGGCTGGCCTTCTACCCAAAGTTAGCCGGGGAAACATCATGTCAAAAAGGAACTCAAGGTCAAGTGAGGGTCAAGAAAGATTCTCCATTAGTCATTTATTGATTCTTTTTTAACCCTACAATTCTTCCAGTCCAGATGAAAAGGACAAGGCTTTTTAAATGGACCTAATGACATGAATCCTCAGAGACCTTACTACAATCTAAGAAACACGAACAACTGGCATTAAATCGCACCTCATCTCAAGAAAGCTTGTTGAAACAGGAATAAAATCAAATCGTTAACACATTGCATGCCATTATTATTATATTAGCTGTTGGTGTAAATGTTTTCACGTCAGTAGCAGAACCAGAGGAATCCCCAGAGCTCCATGTTGCCAAGGAGCCCGAGCACTCACTCCCTGGTGAAGTCAGGCAGCTGTGACCCAGGGCCAGCATGACTGCAGAAGTGTGTGATTCTTTTCTCTGCAAAAAATGGTTATCTTGCTTCCAAAGGGGGCACAACAGAAGCAAAGCCGGAGTATATGAGATATTGTCACAAATTAGCACACTCTGTCAGAACATGTCCTGGAGGCATGGGATGTACATAATGATGGGTAAAGGTCTTGATTGTTACTGGAGACCAAACTAAAATCTGATCATTTAGTGACCTGTAGGTTGGTGTCATCTTGGCTGTATATAAAAGTTGATGGTCTTGGAGCATACATTTCAGAATGAAGCGGGAAGGGGAATTCCAAGCTAAGGGTCTTGGAAACTGTTGAATGGAGCTCAGAAGATGGTGCGGCATCTGTAGTTCCCTGCTCTCCACCCAGAGTCCTCCAAGATTGTTAAACCCTTGGGAGAAAAGAATTAGTGCCAAAAACTGAGAAGTCATTTTCACAAATGACTTGGTGAGATTTCAAGTCTAAGAAACCCGAAGTCCTACTTTGGCTTTAGTGACAAGATACAAGCACAGAACTGAAGAGAGGGCCATTCTCTCACCCAGTGTCCTTAGCCCTCCACACAGCTTTCCCACCAATAATGAACTGCTTTGCCCTGAGGGCTTATTCTCCGGAAGGGCACTGGTGGCCCATGCAGGTCCCAATCACTGACTAGTGCCAAGAGCAGGAAAGCAACAGTGTAATTATTCTTGAGTATCTTGGAGATACTGTGAAGGATTTCCTCTTAAACAGGAGGGAGATTATGTGGAGAAGATGATTGTGCACCTTAAGAACGTTCATTATTTAAGCATTATAATTAAAGTAAATTAATTTGTATTCAAAACCAGTAGAACCTGGGAGCTTTCAAATGTTATTGCTGTTAAAAAAAAAAGAGATACTTAATGCTTATGACAAAACTGCAATGTAGGCCACACAAGATTGAAGCTTGATTCAAAAATATTTAGATTGTATTATTTATATTTGATAGTGGGTATATTAGGGACTTATTTCCGTAGTATGCAACAATGGGCTCAAACATGGGAACAGTTGTGAAGATGGTTCAGGACCGGGCAGTCTTGTTGTGTTGTGCATAGGGTTGCTATGGGTAGGAGCCAACTCATGTCATCGCTCTGTGCCAAGGCATGTGATGACTGACATGAACATCCCAAGTTACTCATAATGAGAACAGTGTTGTGAGGAGGATATTTCTTAGCATTATTTCTATTTGTTTGCTTTTAGCTAACACTTTCAAAACCAAACCGAATTCTGTTGCCGTCAAGTCCATTTTGACGTTCTACCGCCCAGCAGCTGGTGGTTTTGAACTGCTGACCTAGTGGTTAGCACCCCAACGCATGTTAAAATCCTTAATGGGTTTGAATTGAGTATTATCATATTAAGTAATCACTATCATCACCCCCATTTTGTAGATGAAGAAACAGAATTATAGCAATGTATTCATGCACACAACAGCTAGAAAGAGGCAAAGCCGGCTCTCAAACCGAAACCATGACGTGGCAGAGCCCTCAGTGCTCCTGTGGCTTCCTGTTACACAGAAAGCAAAGTGGCCCTTTGGATGTCTCTCTATAGTAGAAAATTAATTATTTATCTAGCAAAATCCATTTACAACTCTCATTCCTGAAAGCACCTGAGTCATCTTTCATGGAGGAAATTTAAATAGCACTCTTCCCAGTTTCCAGTGGATACTCTTTTCTAGATTTCTGTGCTCAGAAGAGGGACCTTACAGAAGTGATCATTCAAGCATTAATTCTTATGACAAATTCTGATTGCAAGTTCTCTTGGGTGAGACCTGATCAGGACTATTCTGTCTTCGGAAGATGTGATGTTAGTGCACAATCAGGGATGGGCCACTAATATGCAGACCCGAACAACGTGAGACTCTGGATAAGGCTGTTCCTTTTGAGAAGAAAATAAAGACTTGTATTTAAGGATTTCTAAATATAATTTAAGCTGATGACACATAAATTTATTCATTGAATTATTTAAATTTTTCAGTCAGTGTTAGTTTGATAATTCTCAAGAAATCTTAACAACAACAAGAACAATGACAAAAACAGGTTAAAGTCTCTAAGTCCATTCCAAACCCACTGCCATCATGTCATCCCACTTCAGAGTGTAGCAGTCCTGTGGGCATTCCAAGTCTGCACAGCCTCCAGGATGAAGCAGGCTGCTACATCTTCCCTTGCAGAGAAGCTGGAGGGTTTGAACTAGCGTCTTAGCTGCCTAGCGTGTTAATCCCTGGATTAAAGGTTCCTTAAAAGACTACATCCATTCACAGTTACAGTTCTTCACTGCCAAAGGGTGGGTTCTGATTCATAGCGACCTGTATAGATTTCCGAGGGTTTCAAAACTTTAACGATGCAGACAGGCTCATCTCTCTCCTGCAGGATGCCTCGTGGGTTTGAACATCTCACTTTGCAGTTAGCAGCCCAACCCTTACCTGACAGCACCCCCAGGACTCCTTCACTGTTACTACTAACTGTGCATCATTGGACCTTACAAGTTCTCAAAGACTGTATAATACTTTATGTAGGAAAATAGTCTAACTCAAACAAATATTCCAGTTCACATTCATTGTGTGAGCACTGACTTTTTGACATTGTTACCCCATAAGAATATGATAGACTTTTCTATTTGCATTTCATTTTCAGGTTTCCAACAATATTTTTATAGTTTTGTTTATGACTGTCCCATAAGCTTCTTACTAAATTAATGCCAAATTATTTTATAGCACTTGTCTTCTCAATGAAATCATTTTCCTCTTTCTTTTCTGAGTGTTTTTACCTGACTGGGGAGAGAGGAGATAATATCTGTCATTTGTTTTGTACTCATGCAAGCTTCCAGATTCTACTATTAATTTTGCTTATTTGGTGTCTTGTTTTATGAGAGTCTTCTGAGAGCTTTCTAAGAAAATAGGTGTATTGTCAACATCAGGACCTTATTTATTTTCCATTGTTCATACCAGCTATTTTGTTTACATTTGCTCAGATCACTAACAGTGATTGTGGTGATGCCTGTGTAATCCTAAATTTAAGAATTTCTGTCATTTAGGATATTTGC